CTATGGAGCGAGCCTACGGAGGGAGGCGGAGGGGGAAGGGAGACTGATGGAGGGAGGGAGTCTAACGAGGGAGGAGGACGGGGAAGGGAGACTGATGGAGGAGGAGGGGGGAGGGAGTCTATGGAGGGAGGAGGGAGGCTATGGCAGACGGAGCAGAAGCATAGTCAAGCATTCCCAAAGAAAAAAAAAAGATGACGATTTGTTGATGAAGCTCTATGGCAGAGGAAGAAACAGGGAGGAAGAAGTGGATAGCAGAAGAAGAAGAAGAAGAAGAAGAAGAAGAAGAACTAGAACTGATGAAGAATAAGAACAAATAGAAGAAGAAACGACAAAGGAAAAAAGAAAAGAAGACGAAGAAACAACGAAGAAGGAGGAGAAGAAGGAGAGGAAGAAGAATGAGACAAAATGAAGAATAACAAACAAATACATAGTAAAGATGAAGAAGAACAAGTAGAAGAAGAAGAAGAAGAAGAAGAAGAAGAAGAAGAAGAAGAAGAAGAAGAAGAAGAAAACTTACCTGAGTTGGTGATGGCGGCACAGGCAGTCTTCATCAGGGGCAAGGAGGATGGCGCGGCTGGACGGCGACGACGGTGGCGCGTCGGAGGGCAGCAGGGTGATGACGACGAAGGCTCGACAGGGTGAAGATAACGATGGCGCGCACGACCATGCAACAATGGCGGGGAAACAACAAGCTGGGGGGGGGGGGGTAGGGCGGAGGGCGCAACCGGGGACCTGGCCAGGGGGTCGCACGGCCGGGTGCCCCGAGCGCCCTTCCGGGCGACCTGGGGTGGCCCGGGCGCCCGGGCTGGAAAGCTAGCCAACAATCTATTTGTGCGTTTTTATTTTTGCCAATGAATTCCAAGACCTTGACCACATGGGAAGGAACGAGTCTCTTGCGTCTTCTCCCCTCCCTCCCCCCCTCCCCCCCYCCCYCCYCTCCTCTGCTCTTCCCCCCTCCCGCCTTTCCTCACATTCGTCCATCCCTTCACACTCTCCTCCTCCCCCCAACCCCCCCCTCTCTCTCTCTCCATCCACTGCCCCAAAGGAAGAAGAGAAGGACAAGTGATGGCTAAATATTGTCAAGGGCTGTCCCAGAGCTGCTGCTGCTTTGTTTTTTTTTTGTCCCTTTGTCCCAGAGCTACAAACAGGTCCCAGAGTTACAAACTGGTCCCAGAGCTGGTACTGTTTGTTGAAACTTGGGAAAATTCAAAAATTTTCAAAGTTGATTAAAGTTGAAACTTAAAAGTTTAGACTACCTTCTTCCCGTGAATACAACATACAGTTATCATAGCTGTATTTGGGGTGACTTCCAGTCTAGATACAGCAATAATGACCGTACGTTGTATTTGGGTGAAGAAGGTAGTGCTGCGGAGCTGAAAGTCCAGATAGACCAACAATCTTCTGTGTTTTTTTTTTTAATCTTTTGTGTTTTAAAATTTGTTGTTTACAACCTTGACATGACAGGAAGGAGTGCCGCAAACCATCAAACTATTGCGGAATGCTGGGATTCATTTCTGGATGCTCACGGGCGACAAGTACACAACAGCTGTGCAGATTGCGCTTGCTTGTAATTTCATTTTGCCAGGTACGTACGTACGTAGTATGCAGCGTAACCACCTCAGAGTATTCTCACATTTCCGACAGTTTTTTGGACTGAGCTCTTCTGGATGTAATTATGGTCAGATGCATCCAGGTCAAGCTGTAATTCCGGTCAAGTACATGTAGGAAAATCCTAGTGTGAGCACATGCCTCAAACAGTTTGTACAAGCTTATCCTGTCCTCGACAAGTACGCAACAGCTGTGCAGCCTTCAACAAAAAACCTCCTCTGACCTTAATCATGGCCTGTCGTGGACGTATCTGACTGCAATTACGTCCAAAACACAGTCGAAAATGTTGCAGTGCGAATAGCAAAATCCTCCTCAATGTTTGATGAGCTGTGCAGCCTTCAACAAAAAATCTCTGACCTCCTTCGTGAAAACTGCATGCACAATAAGTGCTTGAAGCCCACTCACACAAGGGGTTTCCTCGACGCATCCGACCTTAATCATGGCCTGTCCTGGACGTATCTGACTGCAACTACGTCCAAAAACCAGTCGAAAATGTTGCAGTGCGAACAGCACAATCCTCCTCAATGCTTGCTGAGCTTTGCAGCCAGCCTTCAACCAAATTCCCCATTTTGTGAGGCGGACTTGTATCAACTGGATTACAGCCTGTCCTAGACGTACCTGACTGCAATTATGTTCAGAAACGTCTCGAAAATGTTGCATTGCAAACAGCTGTGCAATCAGACTCGTCTCATTCACACTTTTCATGCATGTAAACAGCGTCGCAGCAAACTGGCGACATGCGCCCTCACAGAACTCAGAGATATGGCATCCAGATAAGAGTTCACTTCCACTGGCGATGGCGACTCAGCGCCCAAAACAACCACTGTTCACACACACCGGATCACCCTGGATATCCCACACGCATCACTCTGAACACTCACACAACACACACACACCAGCTACAGCTATGGCAGCTATGGCTGCCTCTACGCTATCGCTTTGCTAAGCTCTTCTGGCCCACTTCGACTTCGGGCACACTGCAGACCTCCTCGCACAAGCCGCTGAGACAGCGCTTCCACATGGCTTCCGCAGGAATGAATAAATGGCTGTGCGTGGCCTCTTGATTTATACTTCTGTGGCTCGTCGGCCTGCCTGTTTCCCTGGCCCACGGTGCACACAGTCCCAGGCGCTACTTGCTTGACTGGACCGGACTGACTGGACTGGGACTGCTGACTCTGCACAGTGGACTTCTACCACTTGCCCACTTGCCTTGACCTACAGTGGGCCGACTCCGAAAGGCCACTTCTAGAAGCCTCTTCTTGGCCTTTCGGTCCAGTAGCAGCTACGACTTTGGCCCTTTCAGGTAAGTAGCAGCTACGACTTTGACCCTTCGGAAAGTCTACAGCTAAGACCTCTGGACTCTCTAGACTCCTACCCGACAGGTCTACAGTTCGAATCCCCTATACCCTGTAACCTACGATGACCTACCTACCACTGGCAGTCCTACAGGTCGCAGGTTCAACTCTACGGGTCGACACAGGTACTGTACACAGGTAAGGTGGGGACTAGGGATCGAGCCCTGGGATCTGCATCAGCTACTGTGAACTGGTGAATACCGTTTCACTCCCGCTGGCCTAAATTCGAGGTCCTCCGAGAATATTTCAGTCCAAGGCAGGACCTTTACCCTTTCTGTCCTTTTTGTAGGCCCTGACTATGTCGGGAGCTGCTTCTAGAAGTTCAGTTCTAGTGAACCACCGGTCGTCTTCTGGTTCCTGATATGCAAATCTGACTTTATACTGTTTTTGAGGACGACCTCGACCTCCTGTTCTAAACACGTCTTCACCTACAATGCCGTCAATGTCGTACTTCCCATCCATGTCTGGGGGGATCATGGAACGTCTAGATGGGAACTGGTGACTTACTGTGCATGGCAACAACTTTGACGCATGGAAAACTGGGTAGGTGTGGAGGTGTAGTGGGATCTCTATCGAGTAGGACGGACCATCTTCTCCGCCCTTGACTTCTAGAACTGGCCACGATTCTCTATACGCGGGCAGTAACTTTTGCGAGATGTTTTCCTCAGGAGCAAACTCTTTAGCTTTGACCCAAACTAAGTCGCCTACTTGGAACTGTGATGGGCAACGATGTTTGTTGGCTTGCTCTATCATCCTATGCTGGGCCTTCCTGAGGTTCTCTACAACAGTAGCTAGTTCTTTCTCGTGCTGTATAGCAAACTCCCTCGTACCGAGCGGTAGCCTATGAATCTGATCCCGGTTAAGTCCCTCAAACGGTCTGCGCGGCCTAAAGGACTTGTGCAGTTCGTTGGGAGTGCGGCATGTAGACAAATGCACACTATTGTTATAGGCACTGGCTACCTTGGGGAGCATCTCGTCCCAGTCAACTTGATCTGGTCTAATGTACATTCTCAGAACTAGCTGCAGGATCTTATTCATATGTTCAGTCTGACCGTTGGTCTCGGGATGACGGTCAGACGACATTAACAACTTAGAGCCATAGCCTCTCATCAACTCCTGCCAGTTCTGACTCGTGAACCGGGTGTCTCTATCGCTAACTATGGACAATTGGACCTGGGTTCACTGACCCAGTGATAAAAAAACTTACGGATCACTAACTCGGTCCGTGCCTCTGAAGGCAAAGGTAAAAAAACAGCGTACTTGCCAAATCTATCGACTATCACCATTACTTGGCTCTTGCCATGCCCACTCTTGACGCCAGCGTCCATGAAGTCGATGGACCCCGAATCTCCTGGCTGATCAGGAATAGGTAAGGGTCTGAGAAGACCTAGCGGGGCACGCGTAGTTGTCTTATTTCTCTGGCAAACTTTGCAACTGCGAACATACTCTATGCAGTCATTCTTCATTCTTTGCCAGGTGTATGTGTGCATTAGGTTGGCTAGAGTCTTTTGCCAACCAAAGTGACCCTCTGTATCATGACATTCCCCTAAGATCAGACTACGGATCTCCTCATTGTTGGGAATGCACATACGGTCAACTACGTTAGTCTTCTCAAATAACAGTCCGTTAGTAGTGCGGTAATCTGGCTCGGTCTCTGGGGCCTCCTGTACTCGCTTGAGGAGGTCACTATAGATAGGGTCCTGCGCAGATGCTTCTTTAACTTTTTCCCGCAGGTCTCTCCCTATGTCCAAATAGTGAACTATCGCTCCAAAGTAGTCCGCTCTCCTACTCAGGGCGTCCACAACTACGTTATATTTACCCTTGACTGGCTTGAGCTCAAAATCGTACTGGTCTATTTCTGCGGCCCACCTAGTAAGCTTAGGTGTCATCTTGGCCTGCGTCTTTAACCATCGCAACGTTTCGTGGTCAGAATAGACTTGAAATGCCTCCCAAGCAAGTAGTGCTTCCAATGTTCTAGCGCTTGCCTGAGAGCGTAGAGTTCCCTCTCATAGGTAGATGTCGCAACCTTCTCTGAAGGCATCCTAGCAGACATGAACTCTACGGGCCTATAACCATTGCCATCATCTTGCTGCAAAACAACACCTATGCTGTACTGGCTAGCGTCTGTAGTGACGACAAAGGGTAAGGACGGATCAGCCACCTTAAGGACTGGATACTCTATTAGTGCCTGCTTCAACTTCTTCATGGCAGACGTGCACTCCTTATCCCACTTCCAGATGGTCTCTTTCCTTAGCAATCTGCGAAGGTGCGCAGCGATAGTGGAGAAGTTCCTTACGAACTTCCTATAATAATTTGCTAGGCCTAAGAACGACCGCAACTCTGTCAACGTACGCGGTGTAGGCCAATCCCTGATCGCTGCAATCTTACTATCCTCTGGCTTGATGCCGTCTCCGTCTAAGACGTGGCCCAAATACAACACTTGGGTCTTCGCCCATTCGCACTTCTTTGTGTTGATCTTGAAGTTAATTTCTCTCAGCTTCTCCAAGACCTGCTTGAGATGACCCTAATGCTCTTGAAGGGTCTTGCTAAACACTAGGATATCATCCAAATAAACTACAACAAACCTATCTAACCATGGCCTAAACAAATCATTCATACACCGCTGGAAAGTCGCTGGCGCGTTGGTTAGTCCAAAGGGCATCACGATGAACTCGTAGTGCCCGTATCTAGTCTGGAAAGCTGTCTTGTACTGATCATCAGGATGAACTTCTATCTGATGATACCCGGACTTCAAATCTATCTTTGTAAAATATCTGCACCCCTGCACTCGATCTAAAAGATCGTCTATGCTGGGCAGTGGCTCAACATTCTTAACTGTGATAGCATTTGGACCCATGTAGTCTATACACATCCTAAGCTCTCCCTCCTTCTTGGGGACAAACAGAACAGGTGCTCCAAATGGAGACTCACTGGGCCTAATCCAACCCTTCTCGAGGAGCTCGTCTAATTGCTTGCGCAGTTCCTCTAACTCCCGCGGAGACATCCTATACACGACTCCTTTGGGGTTTCTATTGCCAGGCTCAATCTCAATGCGGTGCTGGATAGGCCGCGGTACTACTCCTGTCGGCGGCTTCACTAAGTCTGTGAATTCTTCCAGCAGCTTGGCAATAGCGGGGTCTATCGGCTTCTCTTCCGTAGGCTCAGTGACTGGCCTAACATAGGCTACAAAAACCTGTTCCTCTAAACGCTCTTTTTTCACTAGCCTTGCGAACGCAGGAGCGCTAAGGCAGCAGTGTGCCAGGGAGTTATCTACTCCCGACACATGGAACAGACGGGCAGTCTTGACACCGCCTGACGGACGAGGGAGCCTACACTCGTGCTCTCTCAAGTGGAGTGTGGCCCCTGCTGCCTCTCCCCAGTCCATACCTAGGACTATATCAAACGGGAGGCTATCCTCTACGAGGAGAGTCAGGGAATGGAAAACCTTCTCCACCTTCCCATCCTGTTCTAGGTGGAAATACGCCTGGACTCCCTCTACGTACTCTTTCACTCGGGTGCGATTGTCCGCGAGGATACTTACTATGGGGTCTGCTAATCTTTGGACTTTTAACTGCAACTTCAACTTCTGCAGCGCCTTCCTACTGATATAGCTACGAGTGGC